CTCATTTCCACCTATGAATTGGGGGGGGGGGATCACAACAGTTATGATCCATGATCATAAACTTGCACTGTTTGAAAAGCAATCCAAGAATCATTTCTTCTAACACACAGGTGGTTCTGTGTCAGTAGCCAGACCTTTGACAAAAAGGTGCAGGGTCAGCCCCAATTTTTAAGATACTCTCAGTGTCAAAGAATGAAGCATGCTTAGAAACCCAAACAGTGAAAGCCCGCTGGTGGAACAAGCAGATTGCAGGTATGAGAGCTGAGGTGGTCACGGAAGTCTGCTAGGTCGTGGACCCCAGTGAACCAACCCTCCCAGCTCCCTGCCTTGTGCAGCCCTCTTCTGTACATCTGGGCTGGGGCTCTGGTGGAAGTCGTGCTGGGCCGGTTCCAGGCACAGGCCTTATTTAGAGGGCTTTTGTATTCTTGGGAGCCCTGAGAAGAAGTCTACCTACCCTAATGAAGAAACTACTCCCCTGAAGGGCACTCCGGGGAGGGAGAGAATTGTAGAATATGTAGGAAGAGAAAGAAGCCCAGCCCCAGCAGCCTCACCACGTGACTGCCATCACACAGAAAATGTTGGTCAGACCAGCAAAAGAGCCTCCCAGCTGAGACCAGCCCATGAGAATACTAAAAAAATAAAAGGTTGCCCTACATGACTACATTTGGCGGGGGGGGGGGGGGGTTCATACAGCAATAGTTAAAAGAGGTCCTTTGGGGACATGATGCGACACACAGAAAAGAAGTTTTGACCAAAGGCTCAAACCTACTGCTGTGTTTTTTATTATTTTATTTATTTATTTGACAGAGAGCACAAGCTGGAGGGGCAGAGGGAGAGGGAAAAGCAGACTCCCCGCTGAGCAGGGAGCCTAACCTGGGACTCGATCCCAGGACCCCGGCATCATGATCTAGAGCCGAAAGCAGATGCTTAACCGACTGAGCCACCCAGGCGCACCCTACTGCTGTGGTTTTAAGGTCCAGGTGTTGTTTTTTTTCTTAAACCAACAGGCTAAGGAATGGCTACACAGTGCAAGCCAGCCATCTCTGACAATCCTCTATATTCTCTCCTTTCCAGGCCTCAAGTTGGGAGTTAAACATGTGAGAATCATGTATTTAACAAAATAGCTAGCACCCAGCCTGGCACATGGTACGCAACTCAAACATGCTGACAAGTTCCTTCAAGTGTTCTGAAAGCAGTGATAGGAACATGAACACATCTGTCCAGAGGCACAGGGGAGCGGTGCAACCCCCAGGAAGCATGCAGTCCCCCAACCTGCGGCTAGGGCTCTCCTCTGCAAAGGGCAGCCGCCCTGTACCACCTGCCCCGCCCTGACAGGGCAGGAGAGGTAAATGACATGGGACATCTGAAAAGCCCTCTGTCATCCCCCAGGCACTGGGCAGAAAGGTTAGGAAGTACCTTAATCTATTTACAGTATCTCACTTTTTGTACCACAATAACCTTTTGTTTTTCTCAAAGTTTTCAAATAAGCCCCTAACTCCATTCCTGCCAACAAGCAGAACCACTGTACCTTTTATGAGAGCTAACAAGAAGCATCTTTTCTTTAAGAAACTAAAGAATAGGCATTCTTTTGACAACCTTCAAAAATAGCTCAGTCGATTCCATAAGGTCATCTTTGAGAACACTCCCAAAAAAGCACTCACCATCGCTCCTCGCCTAAGTGCATCAGGTCAGTGCCACAGGGAAGGCTTTCCATAAAGGAAAATGGGAACGGCCCGCCAGTCAGCTGAGGAGGACTTGCTATTCTGATCCCCCGACTCGCTCTTTGTCTCTTCGGATTCCCCCATCCCTCCTGTTTCCACGCTCTACAGAAAGGTTTAGAAGTTATATTTCTGGCCCTGTGATTCTTGTAGCCACCGCTGGGTTTAGAGCCGATTTAGCCCCAGAAGCGGCAGGGTACTGAGCCCACCCAGTGCCAGCAGGGACAGATGCCAAGCCCGCTCCAGTTCACATGGCCTGACTGTCCTATGGGCAGCCAGCCCTGCCCAAGGGCTCTATTTGAGAGCAAAGGCGCCTCCCCTTCCCCGGCCATCTCTCCACCCCATAAGCAGGGTCTCCCTCCATGGGAGGAACCAAGGGGGCCTTCCTGAGAGCAGGGAAAGGAGGAAAACAAAGGGTCCTCGAGAGAAGCCAAGAGGAAGATACGGGGCACCACCTGGACATGCTCTCCCCCCCACCTCCCCAGGGCTGCCGGAAAGGTGCTACGCTGGGGTCTCCCCAGGAGCTGGGGTTAGTGGCTTCAGGGTTAGCAAGTCAAGCTGGTCAGTTGTTGGTCACGGCGAAGGACAGGCATGAAAGGTGTGTAGCAAGCCTGTGGGCCATACGGCGCAGTCGGTCCTCCCCTCCCCCCCCAGGTCTCCCCCCCACCCCTCCCCCAGCAGCATAGCTGTGTGGTGAGGTGCCAAGGCTACTGTCAATCTTCTGAACACAGCACAGGGTACTGCACCCGGGCTGTTTGGTTTGTCCCCTCCCCATCCCTGCTCCCGTCCAGCCTTGGAGGAGGGGCCAAGTGGGAGCCGTGGGGCTGGGGGTGGGTAATCAGCCCCACCACCTGGACAACCCAAGGGGAGACAATGCCCTTTGCTTTTCCACCCCACAGATGGGGTTCACGCCAATGAGGGTGGAGGCCAGCGTCTTGGCCACTGACATTAAGAGTCCCAAATATCACTCGTCTCTACTGCAACCAGAGCTAGATTTCTCTCCACCCCCTTCAGCTTGAGCAAAACCAGTCCAGTCCTGGGATAGGCCGCTTCCCACTGGCTCTATCACGGCCACTGCCTGGTCCTCCGGTGCTCCTGTCACCCGCACCCAGGCCTGTGAGGGCAACTGTCCAAGCACAGCAGGGCACTGGTCTCTCACCAAAGGACAGGGAGTCCCAGGAGTTCCAGACAGAGCTCTGAAGGCAGCCAGCGTTGTGCCTCGGGTGGCCCCAATGCTGGGCTCTGGACGTGGCAGATTTTTTTAAAAAGATTTTATTTATTTATTTGTCAGAGAGAGAGAGAGAGAGAGAGAGAGAGAGCACAAGCAGGGGGAGTGGCAGGCAGAGGGAGAAGCAGGCTCCCCGCTGAGCAGGGAGCCCGATGCGGGGCTCGATCCCAGGACCCCGGGATCATGACCTGAGCCGAAGGCAGATGCTTAATGACATGACTGAGCCACCCAGGTGTCCCTGTGGCAGATTTTTAATGCAAGTCTGCTGGTCATTCTCCACCAAAAACGGGGGGAGGGGTGAAGAAAGCAGAGCTGAATGAGCAGCAGGGACTTCCTTGCCTTCAGAGCCCCACAGGCATCTGCAAAGGACTCGGAGACATATGATTCTGCTGGGCGGAGTGTGTGACTCAGACACCGAGTCCCTCCAAGGACCGGTCAGGATGGCAGCCGCTTCTAGTGCTAAACCACCCGGTCCTCAGGGGGTACAAGCTCGGCCAGAGGAATGAAAGAGGGGGCGTGACAACACCGAGATGGTTGGCAGTGTGACCCAACTCCGAACCAGGGCTGGGCCACCTTCCTGTGTCCCAGCCAAAAATATGACAAAGCCCATTGTTCTGATACCCAGTAGGGTGCCCTTGCCAGTCTTGGCTGCTTTGCCAGCTACATGATCACAGGCCGTAATGGCCACAATTAACTAAGTGCTCACCGTGTGTCAAGCAGGTTACACACATCGGCGCGGATCGGTGGAGGAGGCAGGAGAGCCCAACGAGATGGCAAAGCCAGTCATCCCAGGTGATCCACTCACCGATAGCCACGTGAGTGCCAACTGCATGCCGTGCTTCAGGCCAGGCACTGGGGATCCAATGAGAGTGAGACCCAGCCCCTGTCCTTGGCCCCCTCCTCAATTTGTGGCAGAAAACAGACAGAAAAAGGGTCCAGGAAATATTAAGTAAGACCATCTAGAGAAACTCCTGCCCATGTGCACCAGGAATCCTGAACAAGAACAATCCTGATCATAACAGTTGTGCTTGTAATAGCAAACAAATAAAATAAAATGGAAATAACGTTAATGGCCAAAAAAAAAAAAAAAAACCCAAACCAAAAAACCCAACCCTCGAGAGAAACAAAGTGAGAGAGGCCATGATGGGGGCATTAACTGAAGCCCAGCTTCATGACAACTGGGTAAATCCTAAACGAGGCCTGCCATGTTATTTTCTACAAATTGTTTAAATCCCCTAGTGCTCCATTTCCTCCTCTGTAATACTGGGATGAATACTACCTAAATCAAACGGTTCTGTGAAGACTAAACATGACAATCTATACAAAGTGCTTACCTCAGGATAAATAAAAATAAATAAAATAAAATATGATTTTTTATTTTTTAGTTACCTTTTTTTAGTTAACTTTTTTAGTTACCCACAAAATAGATGATATGCATAGATTTAAAGTATGACATCTTGATATATTTCTAACTTTATCACGTGTATACATTTCCAAAACACTCAACTCTCCAAAAGTTCGGGGTCTCTAAACTGCACTTGATTCTTTACTGAGGGTCACCAGGGTGGCCACATAATTTAGTGCCTAAACCAGGACACCTCTGAGAGTAGGGGAAAAAAAAAGGAGGGATGAGCAATCCTACCAGGACAAGGGTGTAAACCAGATGTAGCATTTTGAGCAAACTGGAGGGGCTGGTCACTTTGTGTACTGTTCAAAGGCCAATTTCAGGGGCAAGGCCAGCAGCCATCACAATGCACCCCCCTCCACCACTTTTGGGAGCTGCCAAGCTTGAGAGCTGGCCCAATAAGACTCCAACCTGGATGAAGCCAGCAATGGTGTCACCTCACCCAGCAGTCAGGAAAGTCAATGGACACGGACACACCCCCTCCTTCCACACACACACACACACACACACACACACACAGCTCCTCCCAAAACCTGAAGGGAGTCAGACCCTGGTCCCGGCACCTGGCACCTGTCGTCACCCCTCACGTGCTATCCGCCAGCACGATGTCAGTCAGCGATCCCTTCTGCCTCTCGAACGTGCCCCTTACCTCAGGTGTCCCAGGCTGTAGAACCGGGACTCGCCGTCGGTGGAGCGGACCACCTGCAGCGTGAACATGGGCTGCAGCTGCCTGAGCTCCAGCAGGACGATGGCCAGGTAATGGATGAAGAGGAGGGCGTCCACCAGGGACACGGCGTACTGCACGATGCCCTGGTAGTTCCGGTCCCGTGAGTCCAAGATGCGGACCCCGTAAAACAGCCAATAGGAAACCACAAAAAGAAAGATGAGGACCAACAAAAGGGCACGGAACACAAACACCCGCGGCACGTCGGCCCTCTGCTTGCGGAAGAAGAGCGCCCAGGTCCCGATGAGCAGAATGAGGAGCTTGAACGCCACGGAAATGAAGAGTCCCTCGCAAATGGTGCCACAAGGCTCCAGCTCGTCCCTCCACAGGATGGGGGGTAAAAGGATGAAGGCGATGGGGGTGAGGAACACTAGAAGTCCAAGGACCGAGGCCACAGTGAGGCCCAGGTAGCGCTTGCAATCCAGCCCCACACTGTCCTCCATGTCCTTGCTGATCCTGGCAATGTCCTCCTGCGAAATGCTGTGCTCTGAGGTGCCTGTGATGGCCGTCGTGGTCTCTCCCCAGTTGTCATCCTGATGGAGAGAGGACAGTGAGCGCGAAGAGTCACAGGCGGCAGGGCATTGGTAAAAGCCACGAAGCCAGCCCTCGGACATGGAGGGCCCGCCTCCCTGAACCAAACCACACCCATGGGCAAGCCTAGAACGTGGAAGCTGAACCCTTCAAATACAGGAACTGTGAACCTTGACGAGCTTTGCTGAAGTTTTTCAAGCTATATGTTTGTTTGTTTAAGATTTTTATTTATTTATTTGTCAGAGAGAGAGAGAGAGAGAGAGCGCACAAGCAGGGGGAGCAACAGAGGGAGAGGGAGAAGCAGGCTCCTCACTGAGCAAGGAGCCCAGCCCGATGTGGGACTCGATCCCAGGACCCTGGGATCATGACCTGAGCCGAAGGCAGATGCTTAATGACTGAGCCACCCAGGCGTCCCTTTCAAGCTGTATGTTATATTCACCTTTTCAAACAGAGAAAACACAGTCTAACCTTTTGGTGGGTGTGTTGGGGGGCTTCATTACTCTAATGTTGATGATCATCCCCCATGTTGGAATCTCCTGAGAGGCCCTGGGCCCTGCAGTAAGCAATCCCGCTGCGAGGTGGAAGAGGACTCTGCTGTTCTCTTCTTAGTTCATGGTTGGGTTAAAAAGGCTGACAAAGTCCAACTTCTGGAAGTGGGGCATTACAATACCCTCCAGCAGCTCTGAAAAGCTGTACGTATAAATCACAGCTGACCCATAGCTGGTTTTTTGTTTGTTTGTTTGTTTTTATAATTATCAGTGTCAAGCACTCCTTGACCATGTTTCTCACTGAGCAAGCTAAGCAAATTCAAATACCACTGGCCAGGACAGCTCAAAAATTCCTCCCCGAAAACACACGTTCTCATGACACACTGAACATCGAGGGCACAGAACTCCCAGGCTATTGCAATGTGTCTTTGACTTTCTTCCTGTCTCTCTCTTTATAACCTCTGAGGTAGTTTCCAGTAGGACCGATCAGTCCCTTTAATGAACAAGATCCAGTTCTTAGGGTTTTTAAACAATTCTGCTGTTTTGCCGGCAACCCTGACTCCACTACGAAGCAACAAGAGAACAAGAAGGCAATGAAAAGCCACACGGGGTCCACAGAGGTTTTGCCTCAGAGATTTGTGTATATGATTTAGCTTGGAAAAAACAGTCTGATGTAGGGGCAAGCCGGGTGAAATTCATGTGGAAGACACCAACTTAGAAAAATGCAGTTTAAGTTGACAGCTGAATCAGCAAGACAGGGATCCCACAAATAATAACCTTAAATCTAGTAATGATCAGAAAAATATGATTTATGAATGTATAGGCTACAGCAAGGAATGGTGGCGGTGGCAAAGGTCTTGACCTAGGAACAAAGAGTTCTTCAACTTGGAAAGTGACAAGTGTCACACACCATGAAAGAAACGACTCTGCAGGACAACAGACAGAAGCCACCAAGACTCTCACACACGGCTGAGGGAAGTATAAAATAGTACAATCGCTCTTGAAAATGGGTCTGGCAGCGTCATATAAATTCAAATATATGCTCAACTGTATGATCCGGCAAATTCCACTCCCAGGTTTTTATCCAAAATAAATGTAAACATATGTCTGCAAGAAAACCTGTGTCAGAATGTTCTTAACAGCTTTGTTCATGACAGCCCCAAATGGCACACCTCAGGTATCTATCCACCAGGAGAACGGGTCATAAATGCATACAACAGAATCTCCTCAGCAAAAATAAAAAAGGATGAATTGCTAAAAACTCACCAAAACATGGATAAGTCTCAAAGTCATTATGCTGACGGAGAAAAGTCCGAAACAAAAGAATATGATCCCAATTACATTGAGTTCTAAAACAGGCAGAACTAATCTACAGTGAGAGATCAAAACAGGGTTTTTATCTTGGAAAGGTGGGGATGGGGACGGGAACTGACTGGGAAGAACATAAGAGAACTTTGTAGAGTAATAAAAAAATATACATATATATTTTGACAATGTGAGTTACATGGGTTTATTCAGCTGTTTGAACTTCTCAAACTGTACACTTTAGATCTGTTCATGTCTCTGTGGGTAAATTTACTTCAATTAAACAAAAAAAAATCACCAATAGGGGAAAAAATAGCCACAAATTCAAAGATCGACAGTACTCGTAATGGAAGGTAAGTTCATAAAATACTTTACTTTGTAACACTCTGGAAGAGTATAGGGCCAATACCAGATGCCATGTTTTGTATTGGGCCTCATATTCAGGTGCTAATCAATGTGGAAGTAATAATTACTAGTATCTCGTGGTCATTTTGTTGACCACTGCACTGCTATGATTTAGCTCTTCACCCTTTTTCCCACCCAAGAGTTGCTAACTAAATCCCCTTTACATTTTGAGAATGGATGTACATCTGGGCCTAAAAAATGTAATGTCCAAAGGGTCCTCTTAAGCTTGGGGTTCTTAGAACAGAAAGGATCTACGATCTTCTAATCTGATACCCAAGAGCCTGAGGCCCACAAAGGTCCGGACTGCCCACAGTCACAGAGCTACTGAGAAACACAGCCTCCAAATGCCCATTTCTATGCTTTTCTCCTCACATCAACTTGGCATAAACACCAACAGCTTCCCAATACAGCTTCCCGGTGGGCTACAAGACGCAGAGAAGCTGCAAAGAAATGCCTTCACAGTGGGCCCCCTGCACCTCTGAATCCGCATCTAGAAGAAGACTGACCCCCTGCAGCACTTCAAGGTGGTCCAAATCTCAGGATTAGCCCCAACCATCCAACCATCCCTTTGGCCCTCCCAGAGCTATGGCAGGTAGTGCAAGGGTAAGGACTAACGACATGTACTCATCACTGGACAAACTCCACCTTCATCCCACAGCTGAGCTTTGGGTCCCAAGAGCACCTTGTGTGCTCTGAGGAATTCCAATTTTAGTCCATCTATCTGCTTATAAATGCGTATGTCTGTGTACCTGCAGGTGTGAGCATACATAGGTTTATATGGGGCCATGGCTAGCCACGCATATATTTCAAGAGCTGTGGAGGGTATGCACACGTTTCTGAGGACAACTCAGATGTTTATTTAGATCAGGTGGGCCGCCAGTTAGGACTCAGCAAGAAGAACCCACACAGTGTCTTTTAAAGATTAACACACATTGCCAATATTTAAAAATTGGGTGATTTCACATAAAATCCTAATTTCCAGCTTTTCTTAAATACCACTAGATCCAGGAGCACTGAATTCCCGCATTCCTGAGCGGTAATAAGAGTCTGGAGCTGGGGAGCTGCCATTCCTCTGACAGAGGAGATGCATTCTCTAGTTTGCTACAGACCCCAACGCTGCATGCCACAGCCCCGACAACGATGTGCCACCCAGGTTGCTGCTCACCCCCCAAGCTTGCCCGATATGTTCTGGCCCCTTCTCTGTGGGCTAGGGCCTATTTCATTCAACCAGTTTTCCTGTCAGGCATCTCAGTGTACAGACCCCCGATTTACTTCATATACCTCGCAGTGGTCAGTCTGGGCTGTCTTAACCTCTTGTTCCCCACAGCCCTTGAGGCTTCTGGAGAAGAGTTTCCTTCCCTGGCTTCCTGTTCCACTTTGGAACACATCCCTGGAGACGACAGCCTGTAACTTTCCCTTTCTCTGCCCTGTCATCAGCCCGGCGGGCTTCTTTCCAACACTGTTCAAAGCAGGCCAACCAATCACAGTTCAGAAGGACCCCCGAGGTAGCCAATGGCAGAACAGGCTGTCCTTAGACCAACAAGAAACCACGAGACATAGAGAAACTCATTACCATGCTAGAAAAATAAAGATAAAAACCCAAGAGAACCTACTGCAACAAGACTTAGGAAAACATTTACTGAAAAGAGTCTTGATCAAGGGGCAGTGTGCTTACAGACTGCCTTTGATCCTTACCTGAACTTCCTCCGTCCGAGTAGAATCATTTGCCAACAGGGGCTCTCCGGTGGGAGCTTGAATGGTGACAGATTTTTCTGACCCTCTGCCATCTTTATTCCGGGGTGATTTGTGTCTCTCTCTATTTCTCTCCCTGAAAAAAAATGATAATCAGCTAGCACATTCATACTGTGTGAATCACCTCTCATTGAAATGTATTATACATTTCATTTTGAGTTAGAAAAATTCTACACACGCATATACACACACACGGTGCCAATACCCATCGAAGCCACCCCTGCAAGGAGTAAGCAAATTTTTACCCCCTACTTAGTATTTTCTTTCTGCCATTCCAAGACCTAAAACAAAGACTGTCACTCCTCCCTCAACAGTGGAGTTAAAAATAGATTTTTTCAGGGGCGCCTGGGTGGCTCAGTCATTAAGCGTCTGCCTTCGGCTCAGGTCATGATCCCAGGTTCCTGGGATCGAGCCCCACATCGGGCTCCCTGCTCGGCGGGAAGCCTGCTTCTCCCTCTCCTACTCCCCCTGCTTGTGTTCCCTCTCTCGCTGTCTCTCTCTGTCAGATAAATAAATAAAATCTTAAAAAAAAAAAGATTTTTTTCAAAGCCTAAAATTATGAATTTTAGAATTTCTGTAGCTGAGGCACATTTTACTGTAAAATTCCTGACTTGATTTGGTTATAATATGCCTAAATTTATTTTCTAGGGCTTTCTTGTGGGGACAACACTGCAAAATATTTACACTTGGTCTGTCCAAAAAAATCTGGGACACATTGTCACCCTACACCTTTGGATAAGTTGAGAAGAAAGGAAATTCTAAACCAGTACAAAGAAGCATTTACCTCTCACTCCTACAAATTCAAACTGAAAGTCATTCCCACAGATTCTGGCTGAATTCAAAGGCACCCAGAGGAACAATAAAAGCCAGGACAAATGACACCAAGAGGTGCGTGTGTGCGTGTGTCTGTATTTTCAGGCTTCCTAAGGAAAGCAGGCTGCTGCCTCATTTTACCCCAGATGAACTGCCTGGGTGGTCTTCCAGGGTAACTGCGAAAGCACCCTGCCACGGGGTCAATCTTGAAATTACGAAAGGAATCAATCGCTGTGGGAAGCTCAGAAGTCACAACCTAGCCATTAACCACCGATGGAAACTGGCACTCCTGTGCCCCAGCTGTGAACAGTCAGTCCAGGAGCCCCCAGAGAAGGAGCCTGTCTGTCAATGTCCCCTGTCTTAGAGACTGCCTTGACACCAGTCCTCCCTTCAAACACCTGCTTTCATTCCCAAGTCCCCCCCGCCCCTCCCCGCCCGGGGCCACCGCCAACCCTGGGCAGGACAGAGCACTGCACACACAGACTTCGGGGACAACAGTCAGATCTCAGTTCCGCCCCTATTAGATGTGTGACCTTGCACAAGTTATTCAACTTCTGAAAACCTCAGTTTCCTCTCTGTGAAATGGGGATAATGATAATACCACATAGATAATGTATGCAGAGCTCGGTACAGGGGCCTCGGAGGAGATGTACAAGGAACTATTAACACACAGTCCAACTCCTTCCCCTCCACGGCATGTCTCCTAATAACCTGCTACTTAGCCAATAAAATCACATGCAGTCTTCCTATGGGCAAACTCCGACCTTAAGAGCCCCTCTCCAGGATAAGCATTGGTTAGTTCGTTCAAAGAGCAGGGAGGCATCCTTGATCCCAGGAACTTTCAGTTGGGAGCATCTCTAATTTCTAGAGCATCACTTATCATCCTGATCTATTGTTAAATTAGAGTCTAGAAATACATGTGTTCCGATCGACTTGGGTGTTTTAGTTTAACCAGGTAACTGGGGGGGGGGGGGCGGGGGGCAGCAGAAAATCTGTTTTAACTAGAGATGTATCTATCAATGCCAATCATTCCACTTCCCACTCCAATTTAGAGAGCACTTTATTAGGTGCTCTATGATATTAATTTCATTCGATCCGGACAATAACTCTATGAGGACAGGAGTCTTGTCCCCATTTTAGAGATGAAGAAACCAAGGCTCACAGAGGTTGACTGATTTGCCAAAGTCGTAGTAAGTGGTAGAGCAGGATGTGACCCCAGGTCTGCCCCCACCACCTTGATTTACACCCGCTGTGCTGCGCTGATCTGAAGAGCAACTGGGGAAGATTCGGCAGCCTGAATGTTTCTAACGCTCGTCCTGACACCCTCTAGCTGAACCGCTGGAGCTCTGAAATCGGCCTGTGGGGCTACCGTTGGCAGTCACAGATGCACTGTGAACTTGGGACAGCACAATGCAATGAGTCCAAAGCTCTGGGCTGCCAAAGACAATCACTTCAAAAGGTCTCAGTGTGAGAAACAATAAACAATTTGGGAGAGGCTTCCCAGGTGCCTGGGCCATCTTCGGGATGATCTGTGTGGACGAAGTCTAGAACCCCTGCTTCCCAGGGCCTCCATCGGCCAGACCCAGGAGCCTCCTCTTCTATCTTGTGTCTCCATCACCCCTAACTGTTCCCCCAGCTATCAACTCTTTTTGTCATCAGCCAAGTCATGTGCTCCCCTAACCCCATCTATCTATTCACTAGTCCCATGGGTCAAATCCTGTGACAGCACAAATTCCACTGGAAACCAAAATTCTTTCACTGAATGCCAAGCGCTGGAGCCTGAACACGGCCAAGGCAGAAAGCAGGTGGGGGACACACCCAGGGCTGGAAACTGCCTCTCCAGGGCCAGCCATCACTCTGACCCCTGGCCCACCCCACCGGGCTTTTAAAGGGCCCAACGGCATCCAAAGAAGACACAATAGCCTGAACCATTCCCTTGGTGACATCTGGTAAGCCAGATAGGAGCCTATTATCTGATAACCCCGGGAAGGGAAGGTCTTCTCATCCCCCAGAGCCAGAAACCAGAAACCAGTGCTGCTCACACCTGAGTGTGCAGAGACACCACCTGGGGTGGGGATTTAAGTGCAGATTAGCTGGCCCCACTCCTAGGGAATTCTGGAAGGGAGATAACAGGAATCTGCATTTTCACCAGCACCCCAGGTGATCAGGATGCAGGTGGTCCAGGAAACTTTCCCCAAGGTTCTTCCACTTGAGTGCTTGGAGGTCTGGCTGTCTATGAAATGCCTGTATACAGCAGGGGCTCAATAACGGGAGCATTATGCTCAGCCACACAATGCTGAGGTGTAGAAAAGCTTCTTCATTAAAATAGCATTAAGTGGATGAGGCTGGGGAGGAGGCTCAGGCCAGCATGCGTCAGGGCTCAGCATCAGCATCAGCATCAGGGCTCAGCATCAGGGCTCAGCATCAGCATCAGCATCAGCCTTGTGCCGGTCCCTGTTCTCAAAGGAGCAAGACCTCTCACACAACTTTTATAAAAATCACGGGTTGTGAATTACTGCTGCGGGAAGGCGTCTGAGCCAGTACTAAATAGAGAAGTCCAACAAAAACACTGCCATTCCGTGTTGTCCAGGGGGCAGAGCTCGGACCACAGGATGGCTGCTTCACTGCACAAGGAGCCCACATGTTCATCTTGACAGCTCCCAACACTGGGACTCCAAGCAAGTGCCAAGTGGACTCTGGGAGGGGGCTTCCCAGTGGTGAAGACAACCTGTTCATGGGATCTAAGAGTGGAAACAGGAGACATGGGGGGGGTGGGGGTACGGCTATCAAACCACAAAAGGGCTGTCACAAACCCATGCACACTGGGGAGTGTTTCCAGCTCTGCCTGAGTGGTCGGGATCGCTGGTGCCCCTGCCGGGCAGGCATGTCAGCCACAGGAACCGCTCTATCTTTACCTTGGAGTCTGTCTTCATGCAACATCTGCCCGGAAGGGTACAGACCAGTGTATCTGTGCTTGTTTGTGTGCAGGCGAGAGGGTGGGAAGAGCAAGCAACAGCAGGCAGGAGGCCCGGGCAGGTGTCTGTACCTGCGTGTGTGTGTGTGTGTGTGTGTCTGTGTGTGTGTGTGTGTGTGTGTGTGTGTGTGTGTAAACGCATCTATTTAGGCGATTCCAGAGCTGGGCCCTTGGGGGCTGCTGTAAAACCCCCTGGTTCCAGCCAGAAGCCCCATCAATTCCTGTTCCCTTCCCATTACAGTCTGCATTTCCTGGGAAGACCATTTAGCTCTGTTTCTGTTGTTGGTCTACTTCTATTTGGGGAAAGCCGGCCCCACCAGTCACCCCTCCCTTTCCTTCTCTAGCACCACCCACTACCTGTCCTTGCCCTGCTGATGGCGGGGCTGTCTGGCTGCTTCCGCTGGCTCTGCAGGGACCGGGTGGGAGGGCCGGGCACAGGGCAAACCGACTCCGAGGCCGCCTGGGAACACAAGCGCCAATTCTCTCGGCACTCCGGCTGCCCTCTTTTGGGCATTTCAGCACATTAGTCACATGAGTCCTCCCCGCCCCCCAGCCCCCCTACAGGATACCCCTGCTGTTCTCCATTTAGCACAGCCCCGGGGGAGGGGGGGGAATCCTGGGCTTCCAAAGGGCCAACAAGTCAGGCCCGAAGCCTGCTAAGGGTACCTGCTAGCCTCATAAGGTCAGGCAATCACACTGCCTCTCTGTACCTCCCATTTTATCACCTGCTGAATGGGGACACCACCTCCCCACGGCTCTAGGACTGCCGTGAGATTGGAGGCCAGGGACTGAGGGTCCTCGCAGGTGCCTGCCAAGTGTTCCTTAGCATCACAGGACACTGCCGTATGTGATGCAAAAACTGCTACTCCAGGCTCAAAAGGTAAGGTGAAGTCAGCTGAAGTCCGCGCCATTTTCCCAGCAAGTTGACTAACTGGACACCCTCTGGAGAGATCCGACATCACAAAACCAGACCGCTGACCTCTTTGTTGGAAAAAAGTCAGTTGTCATCTGTTTGGATCCCAGCCAGCCCCCCAAAGCTGATGACGGTGTCACTGGGCATATCAAATTTGGTGCACTTCATTATTCCTCTCTGGGTGAGAGGCCTGCTACAATTACCAAAAAGCAAGGTCCTTCCACTTTCCTACTTTTCCATTCAAATTCCTGACAAACCCCTGAGCAGAACAGCCTTCATGGGGACCCTCCTGGGGGATACCGTACCCTTGACTGAGGCTAGGGCCTGCTTACACACCGGTGAGGTGCATTCTTACCGCTTAATATTCTTAATGCCCTGACACAGTGCTCCCCAGCATGCACCATCTACAGACTGTGAGCTTTGCCCCGTAGTTCACTACCTCGCCTTACAAGGCCCTCAGAGAATTCACCGCATGTGGGTGTTGTTTTGTCCTCAAGAACCCACAGAATCTCTGATGGCCATCCCTTCCACCCAGAGCTTTTCTGAGTAGGCATTCAGTAACACTCCTTGATTACTTTATTAAAAGGCTCAGCTTGTACTATCATTTGCCAGGTACTTTCCACATGGGTCCAAGAAGGCACTAAGAGTTCCGCACGCCGTTTTAATTGGGAATTATTGTCTCTTAAAGTCACCATAAGAACCCTGCTGGATCAATTTCTGGGGGCCCCAAGAGGCCTGAGAAAAGAATGGAGCACAGCCTGGGGCCCTGACATAGAATAGTTAGGACCCATGTGAGGCAGAGGAGACCAGAGATGGTTCCTCCTCAGAATCCTGTAATGCGTCATCCCTGATTTATCCCCAAGCACCAGCAGCACCCCAAATTCCTACTTCTGTCACTGCTGTGTGGAAAAGAGAAGCTTGGCACGCTGACAAGGGCATGGCTTTCTCCAACTGGATGATTCCAAATGGCTACTTCTGGTGTTTTAGAATGAAACTGACATGTTCACCCGCTGGTTGAAATTTGTGAGGAATCTTTGATCACCAGAGGGGTTCTGACTTTCCAGAGACCTGGGCTCTGCCTGTCACCTGAGGCCTCCCTCAGCAGGCTTCTGTTCAGCACGCTGCCAGAAAGGCTGACCCAGGCTCCGAGAAGAGCCCGTTCACATCCTTTCCCCACATTTTTATGATTTTAAGACCAATACGTGAAAACTTAGAAAATAATGGAGGTTTCAAAAACAAAAAACAAAAAACCCACCCATTATCTTAATAATCCTATACTCAGAGACAGGACAGGCATGGCCAACAATGTTACCATTCATCTTCTCATAAAAATATAGAACTATTATAAGGCACAAAGTTTTCACTCTTGTTTTTTATGTCATGGCCTCATAAACATGATTTCTCAGGTCATTAAACAATCTGTGTAAATGGTTGTTTTACATTCTTTTATTCCGTTCAGATTTTTAATTACAAGCCACACCCTTGTGGAAGGCTGAACAGATACAGAAAGATAAAGCAAAAACAAAACTTCTCATCCGTCACCATCTCGTGTCTGGCCCCTTTGCTGTGGGTGACCACTGCAGGCAGCTCGGAGAATACCCTTCCAGACCTCTGGCTGCCTGCGTACACCCAGACGGGCTCACATAAATAAGTCAATTAGCTCGACACATCTTATTGCTGCATTACAGCTTAACAATAACCCACAACCCTCGGACCAACTTTATTGCTGCATTACAAAACAAAGTCCTGCTCTGCATTCAGCTACCCATGTGAGGAACTGCTTGGTCAGGGAAACGCCACTTACAACCACTGTTCCCAGCCCTCGTGGGGCTGTGACCGCAGCTGGGCCTTTGGGCTGTGGCCAGCTGGGACCTTTGAATGCGGTGCTGAAATGCCACAGCCGTTAATAGCATTAATACAGTCACTGGTTAGTGACCTCTTACCTGTGGGCCGTGTTAAATGCTTTATATGCACAATCTTCCTGAATCCTCTCCACAGCCCTGTGAGACGGCTGTACCCATTTCACGGATGAGGAGGCTAAGTAAGAGGCAGCACTACAACTTCACCAACTGGCTCCTTAACCTCTCCATCCATTCATTCCCTCGCTCCTTTACTCACCAAACATTCCGTAGGTCTGTAGTAGAGCAGGCCCTACGAACACCAGTGCAGACCTGGGCATGCTGCACAGAGGAGGGGAGCCTGGCCCCCATCACCCCGGATGGCGGGTTTTCTTCAGAGAGAAATATGGCACTGGGCCAATTCCACCACCTAGTGTATAAACCTCAGGGCAAACGCCTAATGGGTAATGAGTCAGCAATCTGAGGTACAAAGCAACAAATCAACACTTTCTTTTAAACTTTCATTTACATTCTTGGTAAAGCTTTGGGAGAACTGTCATCCATGAGAAGTATTTAGAAATGACAAACATTTCCACTGCAGGGAGAAACTTTAATTTAAAATCAATTGTGAGAAATTAAGGTCATCGACTGTGATGGCAGCTATAAAATGTAAATTGGTGGTATAGTTACTCCCAGCGCTTGTTAAATGCTCTTAAAGCCCGGCTTCTCCTGCAGCTGTGGACCGATCCTCCATCATCGACAGCCCCACCACCCGGCTTTACGACTTGCAAAGTGAGTCGAGAAAGCTGGACCGACCTGCGAGTTTCCCCCAAAAGGAAATGTGGAACAATCAAGAGCTTACATACCCTTGTCTGTGAGATTTTTTCGAATGACTGGAATAGTAAGAATATCCAGAATATGTGGATTCGGTATCCATAGCAATGGGGAGCTCACTCTTGAGGAAGGAGCAGCACCGTTTCTCCTCAGAGGTAGAGAATTTCCACCCACTAGACTCCTAAAGCCAAAAAGGGTCTGGAGATCCAGCAGCCACTCTTCGACGGGAACAAATTCTAGGAAAAGCAGGGAGGAAAAAAAAAAGATCATCAACTTTCAAAGGCAACCCAAAGATTCTAGAAGATAAATGACAGTAGCCACCTCCCCTCTGGGGTCTCTGTTACAGAACAAGTGAGCAGGGAAGGAGCATCTGAATGCTAAGTGCTTCCCCAGGTGTCTGGGAGGGAGACAGGGAGGTGCTAGGCAGGCTAAACCCCTACCACAGTGGCTGGGCCTCCCAGACGTGGGAGAGACCCGGCCCTTGGCCATTTCCCGGACACAGCCCCGCTGCATGGGTCCAGGCTGGAGGAAGTGGCTTCCCACCCGACAGCCCACACAGTGCCCAGCCCCCACCGCCAGTTTGCCTGTTACAAGAACAATACCCAGGCAAGCAGTTTGTAAGGGATTTTGCTCATAGTTTCCGAAAGACAATAAAAAAAAAAAAAAAAAGTTCTCTATCTCTTTAAACCAGGAATCCAAAGTCCTGAGATTTCTCTTAGGGAACTAAATTTTTTTTTTTTTTTTTTAAGAAAAACTGTTACGGCATTGTTTACAGCGGGAGAAAGCGCGAAATAACCTAACTGCCCCCAAAGCGGTGGACTAGGTAAGGAAAACACGATTCCTCCGCCCAGAGAGATAGCATAGAGCTGTTTAAAATAATCGGGAAGAAGGGAAATTTTACAACATAATAGTAAATTTTAAAAAGCAGACTACGGGACTGGAGACAGGCCCTGATCCTATAGTTACAATCATATAAAAGGCTTATGTAAACACGGCGATTAAGAGGAAACATCAGAAAAGGAAGGGAAGCAGGTGGTTTATTCTTTGCAGGCTCCTGGGTCTTTACCCCCCTCCCATTTCCATTAGATGTTGCTTTGCAATAAAAATAAACTGGAAACACTTCCAAGTACTTTCCTGAGGCCCACGTGCTAAAAAACCCTTCACTTTTAAAGGCCTGAGAAGCACAAGTTTGTCTCTCCCGGCATCCTGCACCCCAGTGCTGGTGTCCGCCCATCAGGGTTGCTCCTTCCAGTGTCCCCCCTCCTCCCCTGGGGGCTGAAACTGCAAACAGAGCCAGTGACGTAAGTGTGAAAGAACAAAGGAGCCACAAATGCCACAGCCCTACCCCTCCTGGGAGGGGGCCGAGGCTCCCTGAACCCCCCACTGCAGCAACCTGCAGGCCTGGAGCCAGATCTCCTGGTCACCTCCACGCACCAACACAGCTCCCGGCCTCAAGTACCACTTAAGAGGCCTTTGCCCTTAGCGTTCATTCTGCCTGGAAGTGAGGTGCAGTCACTTCCAGGCGCTGTGACCACGGGAGCTAGCCTCCCTTGTCCTGGGTTTCGTGACTCATGGTTCCCTTCCTCCTCTGCCATCAAGAGCCCCAGGCGAGCAGTGGGGTCTAGCCAGAACGCTTCGCCGTCTGATCCGACCCAGGAGAAGCCACTTGCCTTCTGCAGCCTCAGACTCCTCATCTGTCAAACTGGGATAAATCACAGGGTTGATCTGAGAAGGGAAACACAGACAGGATCTGAAGCTGGGTTCCAATCCCCGGTTTTCCCCACGTATTTGGTTATGTAACCTTGGTCAGATTACTAGTGCTCTGAAAACCTGCACTGTAAAGTGTGAGTCCCAGGGCTGCTGGGAGAAACAAGGGGGCTCCGGCTGCAGGCGAGCCCAGCCTGGGCGCCAGGGGCAGTGGGTAAGTGAGAGTTGTGGCTACAGGACTCCCCGTTCAGGCTCTGAAAGCTGATGTCCCTCCTCGTCGTTCTCAGCAAGAGGAAACCTTGGACAGGAGCAGGGGCAGAGCTGGGGCCCCACTGGCCCTGCTCCGGCAGCCCCTGTGCAGACAGCACGGGGCGTATCTCAGCCCCCGGGGGGTTGCTCACTAGCCATGCAACCAAGCAAGGCAGTTTCCCGCCTGGAAATGCAAATGAAGCCCCTAGGCTGTGGGCTGACTGTGCAAACCAATGTGGTGGCATTTTTTTCAGAATGCTGAGTTTTGCTCCTGGACCACTTCCACTTTCCTAGAAGACTGCAAGAGCCACTCATCCTCTTTGATCCCAACTCCACCCCCACCGTTTTCAACCAGCAATTTCAGCAAGTTGCCAGCGCCCTCGATTCTCACCGCCTTTCTGCTCTGGGCTTTGCTGCTTGTTCATCTGTTTTGTACCTGGCTGACACCTACATCAGGAGGTGAGCCAAGATCCCCACACCTGCCCAGCATGAGCCTCTTTCCCTGAAGGCCCTTGGTCCGGCTCTCCCATCATCCCCCTTCCCGGCCCCACTTCCAGCTAATTCTGGCTAAATGCTGCTGGGGTGTCTCAGAGGCAGATGACCCAGGCCCTGCAGACCTGGCCTGGTGCTATTCATGCTTCGTGGTTGCGACATTGCTGAGCCACTGTTGCCCCGCCCCCCATAAAATGAGGCCATTTAACATGAGCTCTTCCTAGGTCAGTGAGAGCAATAAACCAGGCTCCCTACGTAAGGCACATGGTAACCCAGGCTACATTCCCCTTCCCCCTCTGCAAGAGGACATCATTCCAAGTCCTCATTAAAATCTCTGGCCATCCATTAAAACAACCCCAGACACGTCCCCTCAAAGGAAATCACGGGCTCCCAAGTGCCCCCTGGGGAGAGGCTCTACCAGCACCCAGGTGCGGGTTCTCCCACAAGTCCTACCTTGTACTCCTCAAAGGGGTGGTGTGTATATGCTGCCATCCCCTCCCTCTCAACGGTCACCCCAGTTCTCTCTCAACACTCCGCTGAAACAGCTCTAAGTGGGCCAAATCCAAAGGTCACACCCTTGTCCTCCTTTCCCTAGACCTTCTGATCTCAGCTCTGCAGTCATCTCTCTCTGTATTTAGCAAGCAGCCAAAGGAGAGCACGCTAAGCAATGCTGGGACACAGCAGTGACAAGGGAACGCACACGGCGCCCTGTCTTCCCAGAGCTTTCCGCTGCCGGCCATCCGCTAAGACAGGACAGCGCTGATGCTACCACTGTCAGTGAGTATCTCCCAACTGAGAGCGGTAGCTCCCAACACTCCCTCCCTCTCCCCCATCAAGTTATCCCTTAGGGCTCAAAACTCGCCCGTTGTTTCTTCTCCATCCCATCCATGGATTTACTCCAGCATAAGCCCCTTGGAGACGGGAGCTACCGTTTACCTACCGTAGGATATTCTGCACGTAATAGGTACTCAAGGAATACTGAAAGAATAAATCCCCAGTGCGCATCTCCCACCCAGCTGCCTCTTGTTCCCCCTGGGATTATCAACATCCCCACGAGTGCTCTCTGGAGTCCTGGACTATCTTTCCAGTGTCCTCTGCCAGGGGGGTATAGTCATCCCATCAAACCAGTCCACGCAGCCCCGTGCCATTTCTGATTCTCTCTCTCTCTCCCGTGATTCCCACACATCCCACTGCCACTAAGTGTCATCTGTCCTCAGGGGCCTCCCCTCACTCTCCTGGTGCTCAGCCACCCACCTCCCCTAGGCTCCCTGGACAGAGGGCAGGGCCTATTACAAAGCCTGCAGGTTTCCCCATGGAATCCGGTCTCCGGTCTAGGCTGAGGCTCAGGCTCCTTCCCCTAAGTCATGCTGTCAACTCCTGACCGGGATCCGAGGAAGGATTCAGCATGAGCAACGGGAAGCCACCTGGCAAAATCCAGAGAGGGCTCATTTTAAGGGCCAATGAAAGAGCGTGGAAAGAGTTAACAGATGCCCCCATCGTGAAGCTTATCACTGCAATGATATGTTGATGAGACAGTTGGCTGTATGCACAAGAAATTAGCAGAACTCAAATAAGGTCAGAGGGATGCCTTATCAGGAAGATAATAAAGTAATGAAAAGGAATCAGGTTCCCCGGGCTGATAGATAGATAGGTTGGTGCACTGGCCTGAACGGGACAGTTCATATAAAGGTGTAAATATGGATCCTGGAATCTGGAACTCGCCCTCCTCTCTCATCCTAACTCCGGAGATGACCCACACCGGGCAGCTGGGCAGCTTCCAGGGTGATCTTCCATATCACAATGTGAATGTCACTTCTCTGCTTAAAACCCTTCCATGGTGTCCCACGACAGTTGGAATAAAACACAAAATCCTCCATTTGGTCCGCAGGGCCCTGCCCACCTGGCCAACTGTACTCTCCTTCTCGGGCGCCAGGCCCTTCGAGGCACCGGGCTCTTTGTAGCCGCAGAGCCCAGTATAATGACGATCCTGCCCACATGCCCTCTTTAGTCCAACTCGTACCCATCCCTCTCAACTAAATCCTGCTTCTTTCAAGAGGCCCTTCCGGATCCTCCAGTCTGCGGGAGGCCCCTTCACAGCACCCTGTACTTTTCCTTTAGAGCACGATTTCCAGTTCCACAGGGGCGTGATGACTTCACGTCTGGCTCCCAGAGAGACGGTCAGCTCCCAGAGGGCAGGGACCACGTTCAGTGCGGTCTGTCCGGCTCCTAGAACGTTAACAGGCACCCAATAAACGTGGGCCAAGGAAGGGGTTCTGGTGGCAGACCTCAGGCTGGGGAGGCCACATATCCGCTGGGGAGGGAACCTTAGAGGCTGCCCATCTTCCATTCTCAGTTCGCCAGGAGAGGACAGCAACGCAGAGATGAGGTTAGGAGCGATGTCAGAACCACCGGCTTTCGGCTCACATGACAGTCTCACTCAGCAGCGAAGTTTCTATTCCAGACACACTAAGTAAAAGTCAGCAGCAGTCTCAGTTCGGCTGCTGCCCAGGGCACCCTGCCCAGCCGCCTCCCCCTGCCTTCCTGCCATTCACCCCTGCAGCACCTGGTGTATTAGCAGCTACAGGCCCTGCTTGGGGGGAAGCTGGGGCCAAACGCCAGGATGGGGCCGGAGCTGGTCAATTCACATCTCCCAAAGGCCAAGAGGGCAGTGCTGAGACAGGTGCGCTTTTGCCTGCATGGCAGCATCTTCAATTCTGGGGGCCCCAGGCAAGAAGGTGAGAGGGAACCCCGCTTGCCACACTTTCTTAAAGCGAAGATCAGTGGCCTCAAAGAGAATCTTTCCCCAAAGTTAAGTTCACCCACATAAAACAGACCTGACTACTACTTAAAAGAAAAACACAGTGTTCGGAAAATCATATGGGGGAAATAACATGCTATGGTAATGACAGTGGTAAACGTTAAGTTAACCTTGACGAAAAGGAAATTATAAAAGCATCAACGGCTCTGCCGACAGCTATTAAGTAATTAAGGGAACTCTGGTTTGGAAGGTAGAAAGTTACCTCGCGAGGGGTAGAGAGACGCACACTGCATTTAAAGAGCCGTTCGTTCTGCTCCTTCCGCAGCGGAGGTACTTCCAAGGGAAAGAAGTTTATGGTACAGTCGTGCTTATGTAGACTGTGCATGTTACTGTTTATCATACATACAATGCTAAAGGGTTTACTACATTAATTATTTTTTCCCACTAATTATTATCTTTATTATGTGTTGCAGTGCACATTTTTCTCAAGGTACCCCTTTTTGGTTACATGGCACTCAAGGGGAACATGTAAACTGAAGTAATTCTGTTCGAGGTCAGCTCTTCTTCGACAGAGGAGAAGCAATGAACACAAGTTCTGGAGTTAATGCTGTCACCCTTCAAATCCTGGCTCTGGTATGTATCAGCTGTATAACCTCAAATCAAGTTACTTAAATTTGCTGTACCGTCTCCCTAACTCTAACAACAGAATTCTATTTTCCTTATCGGCTCGTGGTGGGTATCAAACGAGAAAATTCACAGTCATTTAGAACAGTGCCTCGCACACAGAAGGCACAACGGTTAGGCACTATTATTTATCAGTAAAGTAAAATTCCTCCAGTTAGGAAGACTATCTTGGTATAGCACAACACCTCCGTGTCCCTTGCATTACACTTAACATACACTGTTTGGTCAGTGCTACTCTACCCTGAATGAGTACCATTAACTGTAGCTAATCTAGTGATTTCCATTCTGTTCCTTGGGCCTCCTTTTACTAGTCCCAGATTGGAAGTGAATATCAGACAGATCAGAAAAAAACTGTGTTTTATTGCATTTATTTGGAGGACCCTGGGGTTATAAGGGAGGGTGGGAAGAAGGATGGCAAGCTTTGTAAAACATTTTGCGGAACTTGGGGTCTATACACCATAAAACATCAACCAGGTTGGCCACTATGTGGGGATCAGAGGGCTTGTGGCATTTGTGACAAACCCAAAGATACTTGCATTACAATAGACCTCTTATAAGTGAATGATCCTGGGCCACTGTACACAAGCAAATAAAAGGTCAACCTCATTTTACCTGTTTTGCCAATGATTTCAACTTGCCTTCCTAGAATAACTGCTCTTGGCTCCAGGCCCTAATTACCTCTGAAACACCCCCCAGCAGCTGGGTATAGATTTCTGAAGAGCTGTGAATGGTTAACATGTCTGGGGTTCTGTGATGGAGATCTGTTTTCAAGTGACCCCCTTATCCCCTGCTAGATTTTTAAGCTTCAAAAAATCGATTTTACAAGTACTACCTCCTCTGTAAATCCCATGGTGCCAAGTCCAATGATCGCTGTCCAATAAAAGACCCCGATGGGGAGAGCAGCACGCACCTTTTCATCAAGCTTCAGGCGAGACCAAAGCCACTAGCAAAAACATGGTCCAGGCCCAAGTCCACTTAAACCTGTCTTGTCCACCTTCTGGAAAATGGCACAGCACGATGCCCACATCTCATGCCCGTTACACAGCTAGTCCCCTAGCCACAGCTAATTCACTTTAAGAGAGAGAGCATGGCACTAATAATAAAACAGACTACAGTTCATCGTGTGCTTCCTATGTGTTGTGGGCTGTTTAAATCATTTGCATGTAATAGCTCACTTCATCCTCAGAACAAGCCATATAAGGGATAACAAGTATTCACGTCAAGTTACAGTTAAGGAAAGCAAGGTCACAGTAAGTGAAGGAACCAGGGCTTGAAACTATGGAAAATGGAGAGCAATGTAGCAACTACCAGAACTGTTTACTTACACATCGGAGGGGAGGCAACAATCACAAATTGTCCCAAACCACATGTAACCCACAAAGAATTTTGCAATTTCACCTTTGGCTCACAGGTTCAGTGGCCCAAGCATTGTGGGGAGTCTGGGAGAAAAGAATCTGAAACAGTTGTAGGGAGTTCTCAGCCCAAAGGTAGACACTGCCTATTAAAATACAATGTGATAAGCATGCATGTGATGTGAGGTCTGGGGTAACAAACAGGGTGTGTGTTTGTGTGCGTTAGAGGGGTGGAGGGAAGAACACCTTTCTCACTCAACACCTGTTTATTCTTCAGCAGACTGGGGTGACACGGAATCGGGGCTTGTATGGAAACTTTCCTTTATGGTTCTGTCCCATTGCTCAAACACCTAAGACAATAAAAATGTCCTGCATGGCAAGCTGTCCTTACAAATATGCCATTCTCCAAATTCTTCTCCCATTTTACTTACAAATTAAGTTGCAACCAAGTCACACTGCCAAGGCTGTAACAGTGAAAACTTCACACTCGATGTTTCACTAATTACCCTGAGAGACACCAATGTTTAGGAATGCTAAATGCCCATGGGTTGGTGAAGAGTGTTATTTCTCTGAACTGCAGAATAAAACAGTTTCCTCCCAGAAATCAAAGCCCCAGCTATATCACACTAATTTAATTCAACTATAAAAACTCTAATTAGTGGTTACATAAAATGACTAATTACTTCTCCCTGGTTTTAGACAGTTTCTGCCATATCACTGAAAAAGCCTAGGAGCTGTGTACTCAAACAACCCACCCCCAGGAAGAGGAATGCTAATTAGCATTGTTGATGGGTGACACAAGCTATAATATTTTCCAGCAACTCTGTAAAATTTATAAACATATCAGAGAAAATGCCAGATTCTTTACAGCTTGCTAGCTTTTGGCATAAAGGTCTAATAATACATGCATTTCCAACCAGAGACCGGTCCAAGGGTTTCACAAAATGCACGCGACAGCCACACAATCATCACAATAAAGCGCTCTGACATCGCTTAACGAGGAGCTAAACGGGCTCACACCACGTTCTCGGCTGGGCCATTATACCTGGTTTGAAGATGTGAAAACCGAGCAAGAGATTTCTCAGCTCCGAGGCTCACCAGCTCATCTCCGGGCCGCCAGGCCACGGCTCCGCCCCACGCCTGCCTCCACCGGCGACGCGTTTAAATTTTTATAAAGCTTCACACTTCTCTGGGCGCGTTGCTTGGGACAGTTCAAAGACTGCAGGAGGAAATGAGATCCTGCCCGTGGCGAAGGCTGCCCCGGCGCGGTGATTTCCTCCAACTGGGACACCTCGGGCAGAGACTTGCCGGACGCCTTCTGCTCCACCCCGGCGTTTTTTGAAAGTAAACTCCTACCTGCCTGTTGCGCTCTCCCGGGCGCAACCGGACTCTCCCCCCCAAGGCCTGCCGGGCCGGCTCAATTTTGTAAGCGAGGTGTGAACACAGGCCGGCTCTGTGCCGGTTTCTGGCCCAGGGCCGGGCGGCTCCGGAGGCTGGCGGTTACCGGGTCGAGCCCCGCGGTGGAGTGGGAACCGCGGTGCGCGCCCGGTTCCCGGGGAGCAGAGGGTGGCCCGGCCTCCGCCCGCAGGGCCGGTAAGGCCACCCGGGTGCCCCGGGAACGTCGGCCCCTCCCCGCCGGCCGGCCGGAACGCGCACCCCGGGGCGCACCCCAAAGTGCGGATAGGGCAGAAGGCGGCGTCCGAGGCGTGGGGAGGGAGTGCCCGGGGAGTGGGGCGCAGCAGCGAACGCCGGGCAGGGGCCGGGGCAAGAGGGGCGCACCTCGCGGGCTTGGGAGAGGAGTGGGATCCCGGGAGGCACGATCGGGGTGCGGGGCGTGGGCGGGGAGCAGGCTCCCGGCTGGAGGCGAGGAGGGCGGGGACCCGGGGTCCCAGTCCGGGGTGGGGGCACGGGGGCTCCGCTGCGGGGGCGTCTCTCCGCGGGAGGTATGCACCCCGCGCCCGGCCTCTCGCGGGACTCACCTCTGCGCCGGCCGTGCGGGCTCCGCGGCCCGCGCTCTCGGCTCACAGCGGCCCCGGCTCTGCGGCCTGCGCTGGGCTCTCCTCAGAGGCAGAGCCCCGCCGCCGCCGCCGCTGCACTGCCGCTTTCCGCTTCCTGTCCCGGCGCCGCCCCGCAGCCCGAGCCCAGCCCTGCGAGCCCGGCGCGGCCGCGAGCCAAGAGCAGCGAGCGCTGCCGGCCCCGCCGCGGGCCCGGCCTACCTGCAGCGGAGGGCGGGGCCGGCCGGCGTCTCCCCGCCCCCCTCCGCCCCCACCAGGCCCCCCGTCTCTCCACACCCGCGGCACGCTCACAGTCACACCCGCTCGTGCACATTCATGCACACACAGACCCCAGGGACTGACCTCGCACACACACACACACACACACACACACACACTCATTCACACATAGTTAACACATGGCCCGGATTGACCCGCCCTGCACACCAACATACTTGTACCCTCAAGCGCGCGCGCGCACACACACACACTCACACACTCACAATCATACACAAAATCCAAGCCTGTTTGCCCTCACTAGAGACCCACATACATTCATTCGGCCCAGGGACTAACCCCCCCCCCCACACACACACTCATATACACACATTCCAAGACCTGAACTACAAATATCCATATACACCCACACCTCAACCAATGTGCATTACTCACACTTAAACTCACAAACAGCCCGGTAAATGACCCCACAAATAACCACACGCACCTAGACCCCCCACAGCCAACCCTCTCCCTTGTCCTCCTCTAAGAGAGCCATCACTGCCACCGCTCCCCCCGCCGCCCCCGTTTTTCTGGAAACTGCTGGAAGAGCACACCTCTGAAGGCGGGCAGGCAGCCCCAGGTTTCAGTCCTGATTCATTCAGGTCGGCTTCCATCTCTGAGTCTCTGTTTCCCTGTCCAAAAAGTGAGAGGATGAGAATGGCAAACTTGCAGGATCATGGTGAAGATTATGGACAGTGGCTGGTGCCCAATAGGCACTGAACAGTTGTCAACTGTTTCTCTGAATATTTGCATTCTTCTTACTTAGTTGTCTTGTGTGGGTAGGGCTAGAGATCTCTGTGGAGAGTCTGGAATCTGGCTGGAACCCAAAGCTGCTTACATGATGAGCTCTCTTGTAGAGACATGTCTAACCAAGTACTGTGGGCAGCTGGTGCAGGGAAACACACGCCCACCCTGAGCTAGCCTTAGTTGGGGAACTTTAGCCCCCAAAGCTGTCACTGTCCCCTCACCACCTCTCTCTCGCATCCCTGTAGTCCCCATGGCCTCTCCCATATATCGCACTTCTTCAGAGGACATCACATGTTCAATGTGCCAACCTTGACCCCCACCCCCAGCCTACCACCAGGTTTCACTGCTCACCCTTGGCAACCCAGGACACCTGCCCACCCCTCACCCACCTGTTACCTGTCTCCAGAGGCCAGGTGCTGCTGACTCGGTAGCCAGCTTCCTAAGGGTAAAGCCAGTGGTCTATCCGTCGTGCTCAGGTGCAGAAATACAGAGCTTTATAAAAACGTGTGTCTTTCATCTTGAAAATGTGGATCCTTCAAGGTTACAACAGGCCAGGGATTTCCATTCCTGGTTATGATGCTCCTGAGTAACCCCCATGAAATACACAGATCCTCACTAAATCTTGATGGGAAGTGACTATAATTCAGTATAGTTTATGAAATCTAGCTACCTTACCATGTGCTTTTGTGGGAAAGGGGGTAGTGCAAAATAAACTCTATTTTAAGACAATAAATTCACATTTAAAAGCCATCTACTCTGTGTTTTCATTTGACAACCTCAAGTATCCACGTGTAAAAGGTAAGAGCTAGAAAACTTGTCAGGAGCTAAAGGATGGTCTGTATAACCTGGAGACCTGCCCTGGCTCCCATTTTCTATCAGCAAGTGGGTCAGGCTTATTTAGCTCTTGCCTAAAGTTGAGTTCTCCAGCATAACCTGAATTAGTAATGAAGGTAAAATTGTGGGTTCCATCTGCCACTCCATTGTTTCACTTCTCCATCTGTTCCAAACTCAACTAGGGAAGTGCAGTACTGTGTTGGGTGCTCTCAAGACTCCAGCATGACTATATATGTTTCACAAATTCATGCGTGTATTTCTCCCTTCCTGCCCATTCTCATGCGTAGAATGCTACTCACTAAAATTCTCCCTGTCTGACAACATCCGACTCAAATGCCATCTCTTCCCAAAGCCTTCCCTGGTTCTCACAAGCAGAAAACATTCCTCTCCCCTATTTGAATTCACACAGCACTCTGGGTTTCTATACTCACCTTCTTACCTTGTATTGGTTATCGCACTGCCCAATAATGTGTAGCTACCACATCTTATTTATCTTTTTTCCATCAAAGATCTTTCCACATAGTAGTTGCTTAAAAAAAAAAAAAGCCTAGCAAATGAATGAATGACTATAAAATACCACTTGCCTTTGGGAAGTTAATAATCTAATCAGGGAACAATCTAATTGAAAAGTTATGACACGCACATCAAGATAGTTAACAATAGGAGAAAATATGCAAAATGTTAAATGCACTAAAGACACACTTTTTAAGAAGTCACTTACCCAACCTTAAGGATTCTGAATATACCTGAAAAACAGCAGTTACATGAGCAAGGCCTCTAATCAACAAAATAGACTGTACAAATTCCATGCTTTGAAGTGGACAGACTTTATAGGTAGGAGAATCTCTCACACCCTCACTTAGATGCTGTTTACACTTTGTTTACAAACCATTCTAATAAATTCATCATCTGATTTCTAAACCCACGGTTGATTAGACACTTAACAACAGAGAGCAGGAGGTGACCTCAGGAGACCCCAGGGCCTGCAAAGGGAAGCTTGTTCAATTCCTAAATGCCAGTTACCTCTCTTGGCACACTGTCACATCACAGAATAATAGCAATGAGCGTGAGTTATAAAGGTTACGTGGATATTCGGTATATAGTACTCTAAGAAGACAGGAAAATTGGAAAAAAAAAATTAGAAGGATTTCCATCCAAAATGTTTGAAATGTTATAAAGTGCTGATTCTTTAAAGGGAAATGTTCTGTGAAGGCCACATATGTAAAAGCCACATATTATTTAGGTTAATAATGCCAGTGATGGGGTGCTAAAATGTGGGTCATTAGTGTTGAAGGAGAGAGTCACAGGGGCCTGGATGGTCAGTCATGGTCAACTTGTCCTTACCTTGAGGAAAGAAAGAAGTAGAATGAACAGAGATAGATGGCATGGCTGGAACAGAGATTGGTTTATCTCAAGTGCTTAATAAATATGAGTTGAATAAATGGGTAAATAGTATTTCTGTTTGGAGTATGGGTAGGGGTGTGGGGAGACCAGTGTCTGAGATATGGTCAAGGGCAGTGGAAGAGCAGTTAGGCTCAAGATAAGCACTCACACTAAGACACAGAGCATTCAAAACGGAGTGGCCCGATTAGAAGGTAGAGAATTTTGAGTCCAACTCTAGTGTTTGAACTTTTTTAAACAGGCTAGCAACACGATAAAGCACTCATTCACCCGTCCATTCATTCAAAAACATGCACTTGGTACCTACTACAAGCCAGGCAATGTATGAACTACCAGGGATACACAGATAACGCAACAAATATTTCCTGAGTACTTACTATGTGCTGGTCACTATTCTAGGCAGACAAAAGCTTCCGCCCTCCCAAAGTGTATATTCTAGAGGGGAGAGAGAGAGGGACAAATGAACACCATGTGTACTGGGGGCAGATGGTAACAAGCCCTAAGGAGGAAACAAAGTAGGACAGGAGATAAGGGATGTGTGTGTGTGCACCTCACTCTCCTGCAGGAGCTCAGCTGCTGGACGAGGCTGCTACTTACAGCCTTGCAGCCAATACGAGAGCCCTGTGATGGACCCAGACATGGGATGGGAACTGTGGGTGTACAGAAAGAAGAGCCAGCTCAGCCTGCAGAAGCAGCATGGCTTCCCCTGGCCGTGACCCTGGGAGCAGAAGTTGGAGGATGAGTACTTGGCCGGTAAAGAGGGAGGAAACGTTCTGGGCAAAGGCACAGAAGTGTGACAGAGCATGTCCAGGAGGTCGTATCAGATGGCAGCATACAGCGCTGACGAGCTGGTGGAGAGCAGGGCAGGGAGGGTGCAGTGTGGGACTGCAGATCTGGAGGTACTCCGGTGCCGGTGGTGTCATGGGGCAAGGACGGGAAGGGCTGGATGTTGGAGCGGCATGCACCTGCAAGCAGTGTGGGAAGGGGTGTGCCTAAGGGAAGAAGCAGGGCTGGGGTGGGTGGGAGAGGGGTGGACACAGCTTGAGAGAGGGGGCAGAGGCCATGGTTCTGAAGGCTTTACGTGGTGAATCAGGAAGTTTGGACTTTATCTGATAGGTAATTGGGAGTAAGATGAGGTGGTTTGAGGCATGCAGCGTGATTTTCGGAGGAAGGAGTGAAGGCAGGAAGACCCAGTCAGGGGCTGGTGAGACACAGGGAACCCGAATGACAGATGCCACCATCCTAGGCAGGTGGGGAACCCGGAGGAAGAAATTCAAGGAGGGAAGGGAAGGTCCGTTTTAGGCATGTTGAATGTCGGTGCCGTGGGGATGTGTAGGTGTAAACAGTAATAGAACTTTGTATATTACAGGTCTTATTTATTCCTCACCGTTTAGGTATTATATCATCTGCATTTTACGGAGAAGAAGACTCAAGCACAGGAAAGTGGCATAAGTTGCAGAAGATCACACAGCAGCTAAGAGGTGAGGCTGGGCTCTGAACCCAGACTGGCTGACCACAGATACCCCATCTTTAATCCGGAAGCTATCCTGCTTTCTGGTGGTGTGGGTTTAGTACTGGGAGGAGACTGGCTGCATACAGTTTCTGGAGATGAGTTGGCAATGCAGTAGATAAAGGAGCAAGAAGCGGGTGCAGAAATGCAGACTGAGAGGCAGAGAGATAAGACAGGGACAGGCAGAGGTGAGCAGGTGCCACTTTTGTGTTGTTTCGACAGCGGAAGCCCTCAAGCCTGTTTATAGACCCAGGAGAAGATATCTTAGATTTTGAAATTTCAGAAAGAAAAGCTAACCTGGAAGACAGGTGGA